CCCCTATAAGCCTCTTATCACGGTTGTCAATTGAATCCCCGCAAACTGCCTAGACTTCCCATTAAGCCTCTTTACAAACCTCTTCGCAGGACTGTTTTGGGCGCGAATTCTCCCATTGCAAGACTTAGCAAGTTGTATAATGATCATAGCGCAACAATTGATTTACACTACTTCTCGGTAACAATAACGAAGCGCGTAATGTCATCACCGTTTTGAAACTCTGTCACCTAACTTCTTTTTTTTTATGTTTTCACTTAGTCTTAACATATTTCACTATTTCTTTCTGTAAGCGATTTGTATTGTTGAATTAATGTTAGTACTTTTCCTCTTGCAAGTTTTTTTTTACTCTGTAATAATTTTATTGTGCATGTAGTGCCGGTCTATAACTGATTGTGCACTTAGTTTTAAGCTTTTGCATGTATATTTCTAACTTATTGGTGTAACAATTGTTGACTGACCAAATAAATTAAAAAAAAATCCAAAGTGGCCAATTGATATGTAGCAGAGCCATCCCAAAGGTGGCAGCAGTACTCCATGTCTGCATATTAATTAATTAACGTTATATAGCTTAAATACGAAAAGTACTGGAATAAGTTTTGGAATTGCAACCTGAACGTCAAACCACACTTCGGACACTTCATCGAAAGTTATTTACCTACTACTACTACATACAGCAAGGAGCTATCTGCACCCGGGCAAATGTGTACGTGAAGCGGTAGGGTTACCCATCACTTTCTCGTACTATTACGTTACGTGGCGACGTAACGAAAATTCTTAAGCTAATCTGTTATCTTTAATTACACATGTTCATTAGATATTTATATCGATATGATATTATATTTTTCTTGAATTCACTAACTAGAATAATATTGAACATTTATTTGAAAAATATATTAAAAGCACTTAAAATGTTGTATTTTGGACAGGTACATACTTTTAAATAAAGTAACCAAGTTATTGAAATTGCATGTCCAAGTTTAGCACATTACTTAGTTAATAATTAGATATATTCACTACGTAATATTTATCGGCAATACAAATTGAAAATTCGAGAACCTTTGTCTACTAGCTCACGAAGTTACGGCGTCTAGTAACGTACAATGATGTTGTATATTAACGTACAAGTTTCGTAATGAATAAATGAAAAATATTCAAATGTCAGAGCCATCAAACGGCTCGCTGACAGCCTTGTTTTCGTTCAGTTAATGTGACCGTCAATGTGCGGGGCGCTGGTGAGGTATCTAAATCTAGGGAGAGGCGGAGAGTGTCCATTCGCGTTACTTTTTTGTTCTCTGGTCTAACTGTCTTTCAGGTTTAGGATTTTGTGGACAGCAGGCTGAATCTTTATAAGTTGACTAACTTGTCAGTACTGCCCTCGTAACGAAAAAAGGTACAACTATGCGTACTTTACACAACTGTTGTGCCTTTTTTCGTTCCGAGGGCAGAGCAGGACTAGCTCTAATTCGCGCCTTATCGTGCCAGCCCTACATAACGCCTTCTGTATGCGTCCCTCTTTCAAACGTAACGCATCTGCTACAGATAACGAACGGAAAGACCGAGTCGCGGGAATGTTTACCCTTTCTTTCTGTCAATCATCACCCATATTGATAACCGGTATGCTTTGCTGCCTTAAGATTGACGTTTTTGACCAATATTATCTGCGTGCACTCTTCGAAACTGTTTATCAACATTATCTGACCGCATTCCTCGAAACTAACATTGGCTCAAGCCTAGTGACCGCCATTAAAGAAATAGAATAAAACCGGTATGCTCCAAACAAAAAGCCATTATCTGTATGAGATTAAATAGATATATTTACGTACTACGATGATCAAGGCTGCTAACAGATTGACTCCATGTTTGCAGTTAATGCGTGTAGTTGTAATCAACTTTATGCAGCCAAGACCTCAACTTAACTGACTGCAGTCGATCTCTTCTGCATGAAATCGGTTTCGACTGCGTGCTATTAATGCGTGAAGCCGTTATCTGAGACCTCGACTGCACGAAGTTGATAACAACTTCACGCATTAACTGCAAACATGCGGTCAATCTATTAGCAGTCTTAGGCAAATTGTCTCTCGAAAAGCTACACTGAGACGTACTATATCCACGGCTACCTTCCGTGCTTCTTGTACCTATTATAGAGCATTTCGGCCGTTGAAAATACGTTCAAGGTTCAGAAGAAATATGTCCGGACGATCTGCATTGTGTATGACTAGTAGCAGTAGAGCATCTTATGAAAGAGTTCGTCTAAGGAAGTACTGCAACCTTACCTTTTTCAGCCGCCAAGCAGTAATGTCAGCATTACTGTGTTCCGGTTTTGAAGGGTAAGGGTGCTGGTGAAATTACCCGCAAATGGTACTTGTCAACTTATGTCTCAAGGTGCCTGGCGCAGTGGCAGTGCCCCTCAGATCTTTGCAATTTAAAGCTTGAGTGGCACTGCAACTGTTATGGACAGGCGTGTAGCTTACCATCAGGCGCACGACTTGTTCGTTCCGTCACTAGATATTATAAAAAAATTCTGCGATGTGTGGTATGGTGACGGATGATAGATAACTGTTGTTTATAAAGTTGAACATACTGCCTTTGCCATGCATTAGGGATATCTGTGTATTTAAATACGTGGGGAAGTTATTTAAAGGAAAATTGGAGCTAAAATTATTCACCTTTTATATCAACCTCGTTGTCTTGAAGACATTTGTAAGAAAAATGCTTTCCAAATTTACCAAATGAAAGTGGTCACGGTCGATTTGTTTGAAAAATAAATATACGCAATTTAGATCCGGAAAAGAAAGGTTCCCATAGTATAATAATCGCAAAAACCTAATAACTCGATATGAAATAAAATTGCTACGAGGACACCCTTTTAAATGACAAATAACAAAATAGCTTTTATAATAAAGAGTATTTGGTATTAACGAATACTTATTTCTATTGTCTTAAATACAATTAACCGGAGTCACCAATTGTGAAATTCCATTATTTGCACACATGCTAGCAGATTGGATACAATATACCTAATTTGACTTACGCCGAGCCACCGGAGCAGAAGTGGAAAAAATGTTTGCTAGTTCAGATGTTTTAGGTACTTACTATTAAATAACGAGTTTATAAAAATATATTCATATTCATTTATTGCATGTCACATATATTGCTAATTCTAGATGTTACAGCGTTGGGCAGTTAATCTGTGACGCCCTTCAGAAGACAGAGTTTTTTTCTTATTTATATACTGTTTAATACATTACTTTATAACATTATTATTATTTTTTACAATAACATCACATTACTGAATTGAATTATACTGAATACGAAATGAGATGAGTAATTCGAAGTGACATTTTCCAGAAATAACGTTTGGTCGAAATTTCATAGCCCCGAAAGTAATTCTGAGAGGAAAACGTTTTTTCTTTTAAACCTAATTTAACCGAACCTAATGTCTTTGCGATAAACATTCAGTATATCCCGAAAGAACAACTGTTTCGATAAAATTCAGTTTTCGTTGTAATGAAAATTTTTTTGAAAAGTTTTTTTTAATTAAACGGTAACCTATCACCGTTCAATAGTTGTTGTTTTAAAAATAAAGTCATTTTATTCAAATTGTCAAAAAAAGATTTATTTATTGGACACATTTATTTCTCTGGTGAGTTTGGGAGTAATTTGTGGTTGTCTATGTGTTTGTCCATGGCACCCGCGACATAGGGTTTCCCTAGTGCGGGGCTATGTTGAACGAGTGCGTTAATATTATTATTATTGAAATCGGTTACCGGAAAGTGCGCGAAACCGGATTCATCCCCTAGTTTGCCACCCTTAGAGGTGTATTTTTTTTTTCAAATTTAAATGGGACCACTGCTGAGGTACCCTCTCTCCAACAAAGAAGAATCATCAAAATCGGTTCTCAAATTGAGATTCAAAAAGAGTAACATACATACAAAAAAGAAGAAAAAAGAACATACAGTAATAATAACGCACACATTCAACATAGCACTAGGGAAACCCTGTGTCGCGGGTGCCATGGACACACACATAGAACCACAAATTATACCCAAGCTCACGAGAGAAATAAAGGTAGGTCATATAAATATTTCTCCCGGCCCGGGAATCGAACATGGGACCTTTGCGTGGCAGTCCGACATGGTGACTGTTCGGCACGGAGACAGTCGAATTAAGAACCTTCTCCTTTTTTTTGAAGTCGGTTATAAATCTAAAACTAATTATTTACGAATAAAATATGTATTATATTCGTAACTTTGCATATCAACTTCAGAGAACTTACTAAATTTTGGTTGGTGGTTATTAAATTCACATTTAATAACTATAGGGCGTTTATTTACTTTTAAAAACCGATGTAAGCAATGGCTCCTATCTGTACAAAAATCTAGTAACAACTGGTTCCCAATCAAAACTCTTAGCAGCACAAAATTTTAAATTTTAGGTTAAATGTATAAAAAAGAAAAATATAAATTTACAAAGACATCCATTAAATTTTAACTTATTACTAAAGGCAGGTTATTACTTAGTGTACACTCCGCATATTAGCTTGGTGCAGCAAGCGAACAGCTAGCTAAGTGAAGACTGAAAATCAGCAATGCTGAGTCTTTAACCTTTTTGTCCACACCACTCAATTGTTTTATTTTTATTCGTTTTTTAAGTATTGTGTTCCTTATGTTTTATGGAGAAATAAATACCTTTTTTTATTTTTATTTTATTTATCCCAAAAGTTGAAAATTGTCCAACAGTTTAATGACACACCGCGTCGGATCTGTGTGAAATATTTTCCGCCTGTTATTTCATTGTATTAATTTTCTGTGTGCAATCAACCATTGCGGGATTCTCAACCTCACCTTATCTTCTAAAATCTAGGCTCGCGTTCAAACTATTTTTTTTACACTGACCTTCGTGGTCTATGAATTTTTAAAATTTTCTCTAGCCCTAAACGAAAAAAGTTTGCTTACCACTGGTCTAGTCGCATAGTAACCCTTTGTATCTCTTCTTTTCAGGAATGGTACATCAATGATATCCCTCATCATTCCGCCTAAAGATCAAATCTCTCGTGTGTCAAAGATGTTGGCGGACGAGTTTGGCACAGCCTCCAACATCAAATCAAGAGTGAATCGCCTATCTGTGCTAGGAGCTATCACTTCCGTACAACATCGGTTGAAGCTTTATACGAAAGGTAAGTAGTATAGCTATGTCTTGTTTTTAACCTACTTCATAAAAGGAGGAGGTTCTCAATTCGACTGTATGTTTTTTTTGTATGTTTTTTTTGTATGTATATTACGCGATAGCTCCGGTATTTGTGAACCGATTTTCATGATTCTTTTTTTTTGTTGGAAAGAGGGTACCTCCATAGTGGTCCCACTTCATTTTGAAGAAAATCATACATCTCTAAGGGTTGCTGATCACGCATGAACATTCATTTTTATAAATAGCGCCTAAATGTTACTTAAGGAGCAATTATCTTAATGGTTGGTTTTGCTATTCTCCAATTCAAGGCGTTTTTCTCTCTCAATATACTTTGAGTAGTGAGAACCGATTTTTATTATCTCCAGTGTCAAGTCCTGTATAGTGGCGAACTAGGGGATATTTCAATAAAACTAGGCAAATATATAGTCCACGTACTTTTGAGGTTGGTTTTTTTAGTACTCTGTAATGAGATGATTACTTCGATATTTGTGAACCGATTTTCGAAAGAGTTCGTCCGCAAGGTAGTACTGCCACCTTACCTATTTCTGCCGCCAAGCGGTAATGTCAGCATTACTGTGTTCCGGTTTTGAAGGGCAAGGGTGAAATTACAGGCACATGGGACTTATCAACTTATGTCTCAGGGTGATGGGCGCAGTGGTAGTGCCTCAGATCTTTGCAATTTAAAGCTCTGAATGGGTAACTGTTATGGACAGGCGTGTAGCGTACCATTAACCGCACGACTTGTTAGTCCCGTCACTGGATGTTATAAAAAAAAACCAATTTTGATGATTCTCTTTTTTTTTGTTGGAAAGGGGAGAGATACTTCAGTAGTGGTCCCGTTCAAATTTGAAGAAAATGTTGCCCTTTCAAGGGCGGCAAGTTAGGGATGTATCCGGTTTATTCACCCACTTATAAAACTTTGCGTACATTGTTGTATATAATTCCATACACTTTTGAGGTCGAGGAACTTTTATGAAAACGTTTTAATTATTATAATGTCCGTTAAGAGGGAGCATGCCAGAAAAGCATTTCGAGGATAAATCGAAAAAATGTGAAAATTAGAGGTCATTTCGTGATTTTTATCTATCGAGGAAACTTTTTTGTTTTATGTTTCTGATTAATGTCTTTGCTTGAATATACCGTGTAGTTACTCATGCAATATTTTATTTTTAACTTTAAAGTGGATATACCCCTCTAAAATCAAATCGAAGATTAGGAATTTTTCCTCTGCTCCCTCTTAATCGATGCAAAACTATGACAATGTCAAAATATTACGCATATTGAACATTATGCTGGTCTGTCAGTAGGGTTTTCAGTTTCGTAGCATTTCTGCGTTTCGGGAAAACAAATTGAAATTGAAAAAAAATAAAGTAAAAAAAATTCCAAGAAAAACGAGACTTCCCCGAGACTATTTTTTTTTTCAATATTTTTTTTTAATAACAAAACCAGGTATTTTACTAAGAGTAAAGCTAATGACAGTTTTCCCTCGTTTATATATCTTTATATAGTATTATTAAACAAAATGTTATCGGTAAGTAGGTACATTTAACGTTAGTAATGAGTGAACAAGATACGACTTTTAAATGCCGAAGTCACAAAGAATAATAATCCCAAGTTTCCATATTAATAAGCTCGGATTTTTAAATAACTAATGGCGCGTGAGACGTTACACGCTATGCAACTCAAGCGCACCGCAAGTCTAAGAACTTACGGAGAGGTTTCCACTCGCGCCCGCCTTGGTTGAGGGACATCTGTTTTATTTCAATACACACTCCCTCCTTCCGCACAAACACGGCACATCGTGCGACCGAACTTTGGTCGTAATCATTTTGCATTGTCGTGTGGCAAAACCGGACTTGTATGTGAAACCGAATGCTGCGTAAATTACGCGATTCAAAAAACGAGACTCACAATTTTTTTTAACGCACACGCTCATAGTCCCGCACTGGGGAAACCCTGTATCGCGGATGCGATGTACACACATGGACAACCACAAATTACACCTAAACTCACGAGAAGAACAAGTGTAGGCAATTCAAATATTTCTCGCATCCCGAGAATCGAACCTGGGACCTCAGCCTGGCAGACCAGCACGCTAACCGTTCGGACATGGAGGCAATTTACAAGATTACACTGGTCTGGTCTCACCCCAACGTCTTAACCTTTCCACAGTTCCACCCAACGGCCTGGTAATATATTGCGGTACAATAGTGACCGAAGAAGGTAAGGAGAAGAAGGTGAATATCGACTTTGAACCTTTCAAGCCGATCAACACGTCTCTTTACCTATGCGACAACAAGTTTCACACAGAGGCGTTGACCGCGCTTTTGGCTGACGACAACAAGTTTGGTTTCATTGTTATGGATGGTAATGGCGCTCTGTTCGGTACATTGCAAGGAAATACTAGAGAGGTAAGTGACGTTATACTTTCTCAGCCTATTAATACAACTCAAGCGCTCTACCGGCCGACGAACCGCCGACACAGCCCCGGTTCGTTGACGGCGAGTTTGTCGGCGGCTTTGCATCGTTGAAAGTCAGTGTTGGTGGCTTACGTAGGACGTATGCACGCTCAGATTGTTTTCGAATGTGGAACGGGACAATGAAAGAACTCTTACGTTATTTATCTTGTAAAGAATATCTGCCTTCAGCCCCCGTAGTATGCCGCCTCGATAAAGCTATTATATCCACATTTAACTCTGAATTTCGAGTGATAAACTTAAAATTTTATCACAATAGCTAACATGGCGAGCACCGTGACGTAACCGTCGCCGAGAGCCATGAATGCAAAAGGTTAACACAGGGCAAAACATGGCTGCAAGTTCACAGTTGATTTTAAAACATTTTGACAGTTCTGCACACAGTAATTTTATCAGCGTAAAAATTGAGCGCGACAAACGAGATACGAGAAACGAAAGAGAAAAGTAATATTAAAAACAAACAAATTGTTATAAATAAATTATTGGAAAAAATGGAGGATAACGTTTTTAATACAGTTCAATACGTCAGAGTAATTAGAAATACGTAAATAATAACTAATACAATATCGAGTTCTTAGGTTTTCGCGATTGTTACACATAGGAAATGAAACTATTTTTCCGGATTTAAATCGCGTATATTTGTTTTTTCAAACAAACCGACGTGTCTTGTTTGTTGTGACTGCAGACCGTCGTGTAAACAAGTCTGCAGTCTGCGAGCATGTCATGGATAAACCTACACATTCAATGAAGTTTGACAAACCCCAGGTCCTTGCAAAAGAAGTCCGTTACCTACCCAGGATGCTGCGAGAGGCCATTGAAATTAAAAAACATCCTAATTTCAACAGGGAAGATGGTTTCTCCGTACCACCAGTTTGGGATCCAGTATTTCCTCTAATGAAAAATCCCAAACAGACATAAGACTGCAGTACTAATTAATATGTTTTAGTTTATTCTAATTTCTATTAATAATTAATAATAAATTAAACCTAATAAAAATTCATTCAATAAAATAATTTGTAAAACTTAATGTAGCGTAAATTGGAATGTTTTCTTTGTAAAATTAAAAATAAGGTATTTAATTAATAACTATTGTAACTATAGTGAAAAAAATAGGGTGGTTTGCATTAATATTAGACATAACTGGTTGAAGACTGTACCACCTCAGTCAACCGTGACCATGGGACCTGTAAAGGGCCCGAAACGTCGGTTTGTTTGAAAAAACAAATATACGCGATTTAAACCCGGAAAAATAGTTTCATTTCCTATAACTAATACAATGTACAATATGTAAAAGCAGAAACTACAAAAACCCGACATTTTTTGTTTCATCGTTTTCGCAGCTATAATTAAACGACAAGATAGCTATATAGCTATATACACAATTTCATATCATTGTCCTTGTTCTTCAAAATGTATAACAATGGTTTATTACCAAATAAGCAAACTTAGATTTATCAACAGAATTAATTATTGTCTCGGGGAGGTTTATCACACAATCAATATACTGCCATGCTACGGCCACTGATCGTCTTCGAACCTTTAACCATTATTGTAACAATTGCGATTTGATAAACTTGGTTCAACCCAACTGTTTCTTATCCTCGGGAAGGATCCAGCAATATTAACTCCACAAATTTCTATTGTTAAATCACCGCTATCGTCCGTGTTAATGTTGATCATTACTGAATAAAGCGAAAAAAACAACACAATTTTTCTTCACTCTCGTTCATCACTAACTAATGAGACGAAGTTACTCATATCTTGCCGCCGGTAACAAAGACTTCAGACTTTCAACACGCCGCCAACAAACCGTTGCTGTGGTCGGCAGGTTCGGTGTGTAGGGGGCTTTAGGCGTATAATTGGACTCTTGAGGTAATTTTTTTTTATAAAACAATTATGTTCGCAATTTCCAGGTACTCCACAAATTCACAGTCGACCTTCCAAAGAAGCACGGCCGCGGAGGTCAGTCCGCGTTGCGTTTCGCGCGTCTGCGCATGGAGAAGCGTCACAACTACGTACGCAAAGTGGCTGAAGTGGCGACGCAGCTGTTCATCAGCGCCGACCGGACCAACGTAGCTGGTCTCATCCTCGCCGGTTCCGCTGACTTCAAGACCGAGCTATCGCAGTCCGACATGTTTGATCCCGTGAGTATTTGTAGAGATGTCATTTAAACCACTTATTTCCACACACACATTAAGAGGGAGCATGCAAAAAAAGTTTTGACGTTGGCTCCGCCCAAATTTGTGAAACAAATATATGCCTGAAGTTCGCGTGACATGCGACAGGAGATGTTGAATTTTGCGCATTATATACCAAATTCGTTTTAGCGGAATAACTCTAAAACTAAAGGGATTAAAAAAAATCCGTGGTGACAGTTGTCGATCATGCATAAATATAATTAATTATCTAATTTTTGTCCTAATAATCAGTAGCATTTCGAGGATAAATCGAAAAAATGTGAAAATTAGAGGTCATTTCGTGATTTTTATCTATCGAGGAAACTTTATTGTTTTATGTTTCTGATTAATGTCTATGCTTGAATATATCGTGTAGTTACTCATACAATATTTTATTTTTAACTTTAAAGTGGATATACCCCTCTAAAATCAAATCGAAGATTAGGAATTTTTCCTCTGCTCCCTCTTAATGACATAACAAAACTAAACTTAAAAGATTGCTTAATAAATGTAAAGATTGTGTAATAACGTAATAAATGCAAAAATAGATTAAATTAATATACACATTAAATGATTTATGTGTAGAGGACAGTCTCAGCATTTACAGAGCGGCAGAAGTTGATCTTTGTAAACACATTTGTAATAGCGCTTGTTTCGCCAACTTAGTACTTACTTAATAACATTATAAAGCTAAATCTGAATGATTAAGAAATAATTCCTTTCAGTTAAATTTAATAAATAATCTCTATTTAAATATCATTGTACATTTTATTCCACTCTAACTGCGTTTGTAATCCTAATTCTAAACTGATCTATCACAGTAAAAATCTTATTTAATTATCTATTGCCACAAAACAAGGTTAGCCCAGGAGTGTCTCTTTCTGCTCTGTCAATAGTTTTTTGTTAATTTGTTGTTATACGTCATAATCTAACCCATACGTTCCACTGCTGTGCACGGGTCATCTCTCAGGCGAGGGTTTAGGCCATAGTCCACCACTCTGGTCCAATGCGGGTTGGGGACTTCAAACTTTTTCCGAGGGTTATGTACCTTCTTCGACGTGCAGGTCCTTCACCGAAAAGCTTGGTAACCTATCACAAACTCGATAATTTTTTTCCGAAATAACGTTTGTTCGAATTTTCATTACACCGAAAACCGAATTATAACGAAACCGTTGTTCTTTCAGGATTTGTTGGATATTTATCGCAAAGACATGATTAGGTTTGGTTAGGTTAAGTTAGGTTTAAAAGAAAAAAAAAACATTTTCCTCTCATAATTACTTTCGAGGTTATGGAAATTCGACCAAACGTTATTTCTGGAAAATGTCATTTCGGACTACTCATAGGTAACCGAAAAGCTTGTGGTAAATTTTAAATTAAATTTCGCTCATACATTCTGAAAAACTCGGAGCAAAAAAATTCATGTCCAAGGTGTTTGCTTGCGAGGCGGTAGGTCAAACCCACTGAAGAGAAAAACAATGGACGTGCCATAAGTCGTAACTACTATCAGCAATTGAGGCTTATATTAGTATGGGAAAAATTGAAATTCTAGCCGAGGTAATGTCGACTGTTAATTATTATAAAAAAAAAACATAACACAAAGACTGGCTTAGTTGGTATGGCGTCTGGCACGGTATGCAAGAAGACGTCGGTTCGAAACCGACCGGATCGAAGGAATTTTTTCTGAGTGTTTTTTCTGAGTGTTCGATCTTTGTATTAATAATTATAACAAACTAGTGGAGTAATTTCACAAAAAAAAATAATTGAATATCTATTCAATAAAAATTTAATTAATACAGTGAATAGCGACATCTCTCGCCAGGACTGGTAGCTGTAAAGGTACTAACTGGGTGATAAATCTATCATAGATTTCTCATAGATTACGCTACGACTAAAAAGTCGTTGAAAGACCAAGTACAAAGACACGACGCAAGCACATAGAAAAATTCGTGAGGTCCGTTGGTTCGTTCCGTGGCTTAGTTGGTATAGCGTCTGGCACGGTATGCAAGAAGACGTCGGTTCGAATCCGACCGGATCGAAGGAATTTTTTCTGAGTGTTTTTTCTGAGTGTTC